TGATTTGAAATGTACTCATTTTATTTTTCAAACTCCAAGGAGTTAAATATCGAGAAAAATACTAGTACGAAAAGATTGAGCAATCATTGTTTTGTTATCTTTCTAGGAAAACTTGCTTAATCGAAATTGGTAACAAAAAAAAAATAATAATAAAAATCGAAAAACTTTTTTTTTTTTTTGTTTAAATTTGTAGTCAACTCGAGAAAATTTAAAAATTAATTTTTCAAACGAAACCATAAGGAAACTAAAAAAAAAAAAATAATGTTTGCAGTAAAAAAAAAAAATTAAAAGAATTATTATTATTATTTTTTTTATGCCTGTTTTTTTTTTTTTTAAATTGTTTTATTATTATTATTATTATTATTATTATTGTTGTTGGCATAGTTTAAAAACAATGGGGATCTATCTGCGAGTAGGTTGGTTGGTCTCGAGACCGCAAACATTATTTATCGTACCTGTGTCACGTGAAACTGCCGCGACTTTAGCCTACTTATTATTATTATTATTATTTTTCATTTAATAATAATCATTTGATTATATAAATTCCACGTGTAAAAACCGATGCAGACATTTTTTTAGTAATTTTATTTACTCGTTTGTTGTTTCGATTTCCTTTTTTTTTTTAAAAATAAAAATAAGTTTTAAAATTTTCAAGGGGTTGTTTGATGATTTATACAAAAAGTTTTATCGATGAAAAATGTTTATAAATTATATTATTTTGTACCGTTTTTTGTTTCCCCCCCCCACATTATTCTACTACCTGTTATTTAAAGTTTAAAATGTTACTTTGTACTATTATTGTAAAAATGTGATTTATGTGTATGAATGTTTTTTTTTTTTTTTTGTTATTGAACTGTGGATTTTGATTTTTAATTATTGTTTGTCACCAGACTATAATGACGAGTTTTCCTTTTTAGATAAATAATAATCTATTTATGAGATAACTGGAGTGTGTTAGTGACCTTGTTTAATAAAACAACAGCCGTTATTTAGTTATTTATTTTTTTTTTTTTGTGTGTGTTTTGCTAGAATTGATAGATATTGGCCTTAGCACTATTGTGAGTCATTTATTATTTATCTGACAATTTTTTTTTTTTTTTTTTGCGGTCATAAATTAATTTAGAATTTTTATAAAAAAGATGTTTTCCCTTTAAAAAAAAAACACAACATTAATCATTAATTTTTTTTTCTTTTTTTTTTTTTTTTTGGGGGGGGGGAGGGTTTAAATACTTTAAATTTTAAAATAATATTATCAGGTTAATATTTATCTTTTAGAATTAATAATTAATAAAATCTAAACAACGTCGAATATATCTTAAAATGAGAGAACCAATCAAGAACAATATTTGACTAAATTATTTATTTAGTTTTAAACATGTTGCTTGTTGTTTGTTTTTTTGAAATTGAAAGTGTTTATAATTTTTTTTTTGGACGGGGGATCCCTGTAGAATTTTTTTTTTTTTTTTTTGGTTGCTTGTACGGGTGTTTTTATTTCGAATTTATAAAATAATTTAAACGAGGATTTAAAATTTCCTCCTCGAGAAAAAAGATTTATCTGGATGACAAACTTTGCAGTAGTACTTTTTAAATAAATAATATTGTTTTTGTTTTTAAAAAAAAAATTGCATTTTAATTGGAACGAAAAAAATAAAAAAATAAATGTTGTATTTTTTTTATACCAGCTCTTCAACGACTGCAATTACGTCGATAAGTTTAGTTCTGAACTAATGTTATAGGGCATAAAGATGAAAAAAAAAAAATAATAATTATAAGTTGAAAACGTGTTCTCATAAAAAAAAAAAAAAAAAAAAAAAAAAGTTACTAACTCAACAGTTGCCTATTAATTACCGCCTTTTTTTCTTTAAATATTTCCTAAGCAAAATAAGAACGAGTTCCGCCTTAATAACGGAATCATAAAATGTATTTTAAATTTGTTTTAAATGAATTTGCAACGTATTTTTATAACGGATATGTATATATGAAAATTCTCATAAGTTTATATTTTATTCTCATTTTGCGTTAACGAAACTACTATTTCCCCCTCCCTCCCCCAGATAACTATATAAAGATTAAAAAAAAAAAAAAAGGAAAAAGGAAAATTCATAATTGTTTATTATGTACGATATAAAGTTCTTTTTGGGAAATAAATTTGATTGAAAAAACTCGATTTAGTTTTCGATTTTTGAAATTGAAATAATTTATTACGATGATTCTCTTCTCTTTTTGATAAATAAAACGTTTTGTAAATAATAATTCGTCTGCTTTTTTCCCCTATTTTAATAAAAAAAAAACATTTACAAATTCATCCCTTAAATCATCATTTTAACGTAACAACAAGTGTTATCGATTATTATTTTTTTTTTTTTTTTAAATTTTTTCTTTTGAATTAGATCGATCGTAAATAATTATTCATTTCCCCCCCCCCCCCGCATAAATTTTATTGACACAAATAATATAAAATAGATTTTTAATAAATATGTATTTTATTTTATTTTATTTTTCGCTATCATTAAATTTATTTTTAAACTTTTTTTGAATTTCACTGTGGAAAAAAAAATATAA